ATTCATGTATTATGTGATTATATGTAAAATAAATCTGTCACAAATTTTTTTTTTATAAAATATTTCTATAGATGAATTATGTATACCTAATGTTGTTCTACGTGAAAATCTTATAGACCATCCAAGAGTCAAAAAGCCAAAGGAGGAGGGGGACGGACGGTACTGTCAAGAACACCATGCTATGACAACAAAACGTTGCCGTTTAATGTGATTTCATTTTCTTTTTTCAGTTTCCAAAATTGTATTTCAAACCAATCATATGTCAAATGCTTCAATCATGTTGGTTTTTATAGTACATTTTTTAAATTATATTTGTTGTGAATTTTTTTTTTCAATAAAAAAAATATTTAACTATAATTATCGGATTGATATAATTTTTTTAATGATAATTTATCGACAAAATCTTAAAAACCGTTTTATTAAAGTTCGGAAATTTGAGACAAGCTCACTTCTTTTTATTTTGAGTGGTGCTATATGCATTAATTGGTATATTAATTAGTGTACCAACACATGTTATGATATCGTCATTTTAAAACTATGAATTTCACTTATTATACAAATTATAAGATTTAAAATTTCTAAAATTATGACACATCATTTGTTAGTATATTAATTAATATACCAATTGATTCGTATAGTTTTATTTTTTTACTTTTACTCCCCCCCCCCCAGCTTTCCTAAAGAAATGACAAAAATAAGAGTTCGGCTTCCCTCTAGTTTGTAATTGAATTGAAGGGTGTTGTTGGGCATGTGGAGACTCACCACGAGTCCCATTTCGATAATCCGAACCGTTTGATGTGTAGAAATTGTCGAGAACTATACTCTTATAAAAAATCACATTGATCAAAGATCGAGAGCTACGTGATCAAACAGTTTTGTATAAAAAAAATGATGGTGAAAAAATAAACAATTGACAAAAATCTGATTCGATGAGATAGTTATCGATATTCGATCAACGTAATTTTTTACAAGCATATATTGCTTGACGATATCTACACATTTAACGGTTCGGATTATTGAAACGGGACCCGTGATAGGCCCCCACAGGCCCAACAACACTCTTTAGTTTGATCACGGACGGAAGGGAAGTCAGACTCGAAAAATAACACTATTTTAAGAAATTTTATTTCCACACACCAACTTATCTTTGTGCACACATTTAATAAAATTTTATTTTAATGACAATTGTATCTGAAAACAAAATTGCTACAACAGACGTCAAAAACACACCTACAAAAAGACTATTTTACCCTTCTACAAAAAAGACTATTTCCCTCTCTTCTATTATATATCTAATTTAACTTTGTCACATATTAATTAATTATATCACTTATTATTGATAATTTCTTATTCATTTAATCTAATTATACATACATATATATACAACTAATTATTTAACCTAATAAAACTGTTTTTTTCTCTTCTCTTTATTATATATATATATATTTATTTATTTATTTATTTATATACATATTGTGCCATCTTGCTCATAAATTGTCGATTCTTGAAAAATGGATGTTTGGACTAATTGATTGTTAGGAACCTTAGTGTATGCTTATAATCTTGTTGATGGACTAAACACGATGGTCTTGCAATGGATCGAAATATATATACATACCCTAACTTTGAACCATTTTAGGGACCCTCCGGTGAAATTCTAGGTACAGAGATTGGTTTTGGCGGCGAATGAGCTCATAGTCAAACAAAGATTCTTGATGGCGGAGAAGTTCAGGGGCTGTTTGGCATACCCATTGAAGGCATTAATCAGTTTGGAAACCCCTTTGGTAGCAAAGAAATTGAGGTTATTAAGAAGAAGAAAAGGAGGATGGGTAAAGGGGGACAAAGATGTGTGGAGGAAGGGTTTACGTGATGAGTGTGCAAAGGATATGAGTTAGGTTATAATTAGAATATTAAGTGTGTAGAATGAAAAATAATAAAATAATAAATATGTGTACTGAGGTAAGTGTGTGGAAATAGAATTTTTCCATTATTTTCCCTTTCTGTTCTCTCCTGAATTGGATAATTATCCAAACAGAGAAAAATATTTTCCACTGTGATTTATTCCCTATGTGATTCCGTCTCTTTTTGTTGGTCCACTTTTCTATTTTAGCTTGTCTCAACATATTTGTCTACTTTTTATTTTGGGATACTAAATTTTGTTAGATTTTTAAAATTGACCCTATAAATAATTATAAATACATTTTAAAATTAAAATAGAAAGACAATGGTAGAAAAAAAATTCAAAATTTGAATTAAAATGTAAGGGTAATTCTATTTACATACCATCAATCCTCTCAGTACACACCATTTAACCATTGGATGATTCTATTTGCATACTACTAATACTCTCAGTATACACCATTAGTAACTTCAATTTATATTCCAATAATATCTTTTATGCTGTGTTTGGTTGAGGAATTTGAAAAGGAAAAATGAAAAAGTATGTGAAACTAGGTAAACGTAGATATTTTTTATTCATATTTCACCTATATTTTTCTTTTCCTTTTCCAAATCCTTCTTCAAATCCCCCAACCAAACACAATATTAGTAAAATAACCATTAAGGACAGCATGATGTGTATTCTATCCATTCAAAAATTTCATATTTAAAAACACAAAATACTTTTCACACACCATCATCCATATAAGATTTAGGGTTTTAATATATAAATATTGTATTTCTTCATCATCTTCACCATTAACATACATTCATGATATCATTCATTATCAATTAGTTCACTTCATTCTTTTCTCCATTATACTTATTTTTTTAACTCAAAACATTATTGCCTTTGAAGATTTAGGGTTAAGAATATTGAAATCAATTAGTTTTGAAGATTTGTACACCATAGATAACACTAGGATGGTTGGTTCCGATGTAAACATTGAAAACGTTGATTTGAATATTAAAAAAGTAAGTTTATGACTCAACTTTTTGATTTTTTATTTATCTCGTTCTTATGTTAAGAAGATGAATTTGTTTGTCGTGTTCGGATAATCAGGGTTGAACTTTTTCACAATGTTTGATTATTTACATTTGAACAAAACAATTTTGTTCAAATTATTAAGATTGACCAAATATTAAATGTTCATAAATAAAAAATTGAACATATTAAGTTAGTTTGGTTAAAATAATTTAAACTTTTATTCGTTGTTCAGATATAAATTTTTGAACACATTAAGTTTGTCCAACTTTTTATTTTGAACATAACTAATTTGATGAATTTATTAAATTTTTTACATAATTCTATTCTCACCCAATGTATCAATGTTAAAAGTGATTGTGCTGTTGATTACAAAAGTAATTTGTTACTAAAGAGGTACGCTCATGTTTCATCATCTTTACCATTAACATGCACTCATGAATCAAGGATGAAAATGGCAATCTGAAATAACGATGAGAGATGAGAGTTCAACACTAAGAATGAAGATCAATACCGGCGAACATGGAGGCCGAATGAAACACTCCACCAGTGATTTGAAATGATGAGACGATAAGATAAGACACAACGAGAGTTCAACATCACATATGGAGATAAACACCAGCAAAAATGGAGGCCGAATGAAATCTCTGACAGCGATGGAGATCAAGACCGACGAAGATGGTTTATGTTCTGAAGATTGTGAGAATTTTTGTTGTACGTAGTGGTGAAGATGAAGAATGTTTGGTGCGTATTCAAATAGTTAGTGGTGTGTTAATATAGGATTAATAATGGAAAGTTAAGGTGTGAAATAAGGTATTTTTAAATCTTAAAAATTATTTTGTATTTGTACTAAGTAATAGTGTGTACTGAAAGTATTAGTGGTGTGTAAATATAATCACCCTTAACCATTAAATTTATATGACAATAATATCCTCAAGTAAAATGACTATTAAAGATAATATAAGTGTGTATATACTCATTTCAACAATTCACATATGAAAACACAAATATCTCTATACACACTATCACCTAGAACAAATATCTTTTTTATTATTTTTCAAACTCAAAATATTATTATTTTGGGAGTTTTAGGGTTTTAAAATATTGAAATCAATTGATTTATGGATGATATTGATTTTGAACAAAACAATAATGAAAATGTCAACTTACTTTGTTATTTATCTTTTTCATATTGATTTGGAACAAAAGATCACTGTTTATCTTTATAACAATGACTTATTCGTTCCGTGCACATATAGAGTTGAATATTTACAAAATGTTCAATTATTTATATTTAAACATAACATTTTGTTCATATTATTAAAGTTGAACAAATATTAAACATTCATATATAAAAAATTGAATATTTTGTTTAATTCAAATTTAAATTTGTGAACATCTTAAGTTTTTTTTAACACTATATTTATGAATAATATTAAAACTGTTTTTTTTTGTTAAAATTTTTATAGAATATCACACCAATTGCTTTGTCGCCATAAAATTTTAGTTCGCCGTTTGCTTCTTGCCATTTGCTCTCACGTTGCTTCCATAGATTCAACACAAATTGGGGAGAGAGAGGCATACATGAATCTAAAATTATCGTGAATTGTATTTTGGATCTTATTATCTTTTCAACTTTGATGGTGTGTACATCATCTTCTGTTAGGGTGTGTGTTGTGTTTGTGTAGATTAGGCTAAAAGAGTAATGTTATGGTGCGTGTTGAGTAAAAAATTAAAAGTTCAAAATATTATTAATATGAACTAAATAATGACGTATACTGAGAGGATTGATGGTGTGTAAATAGAATCATCCAAAATGTAATGATTACATATCTCTTTAATAAATTGAATTTTCTATAATAGACGAATAATTGGGACAGAGGAAGTATTTTTTCCTCCAACCTAGTCATGATTTCTTTTATTTTTCTCTACCTGTTTGAGTGGAGTTTTGTACAGGGAAAAGGATAGAAAAAAGTGTGTGTGTGTGGGGTGGGGGGGGGTCCACCACCCTCCCCCCAAACAAATCTTTTCTTTTGGATCATATTCCCTTTTCCCTCCACAAATCCTTCTTCAAATCTTTAATCCAATCACAACTTTTCATTTCAAATATTGGAAATCAATTACCAGTTCTTCATCCGAACACAACCTTAAAGCAAAAAAAGGGTAACTAGTGCAACTGCATATAAGCCATGATTTCCTTTTCTGTACATTGATTCTTCTGTTGTATATTTCACAAATCTTAATCGCCTCTCCTCAGTACAGCATCTATCTGTTCAAGCCCTGTTTGGTGGATATGCATCAATGTCTCTAGCTCCTCCCATGACCGACCTTCCAAGCCTATCCCATACAGAGGAGCATGCAGTGCCATCTCTTCAATAAGGGCAACATGAAGACGTTGCTGCAGAACCACACAGGCATCATTGAAAATTGAAAATAGTGAGCCAAAAAAAAGGCCAAAACACGAGTTATAGAATGCAGTAAATATGCTGATCCTGAACTGTGTTTGAGACCGAAGAAAATTGTTTTAGTTGTCGCTTCAGCTACTTTGAACATGATCAACATACAAAATACTATTTCATCAATTATAAATCATAAACAATATCATCAAATGAATTTAAATATTGAATAGATCATCCATAAAAATACATAAATAAATCCCTATTATTTTGTATGAGTAATATTATAGTGTCAACATTTATCAAAAGTTTGTACCAAAAATTCCACTGGACCAACGCAAATAGAAGTAGAGAATATAAACAGTACAAATTGTCATTCTTCCTATAAACAGTTGCTTTAGAATCTAGAAAACTTAGAGATAATTCTAAATCATCTCACTGACTCAAACCTACTATAGAGCAAGTGCCCATTATTATAGAGAAGGAAGCATTTATAGTGATCAGTTTTCGTCTGTTGCACACAATGGCACTACATTCAACCAAAACTTCCGGCTATTTAACATTTCATGGGCCATATGCCAAATTTTCTAGAAATTTTTTTTTTTTGATCGGCGACAAATTTTCTAGATGATAATCAGATTTTCTAGTGATGTCCTAAGGATATGAACTCTTGGATTTACCTGTAGTAGCTCCAAAACAAATTTATGAACTTGAGAGGAGATACAAACCTGGCAGGCACTAAAATTTGCTTCCATCCCATGAATGTCTGTTTTGAGTTGGTTAATTCTTTCGTCCTTGTCCAACTTCTCCCGTTCAAGTTGCTCCACTGTTAGTTTCAATTGCCCAATCTCATCCTGAAGTGAATGCATAACATTCGTTTGAACCTCGTGTTCTCCAGCATAGAAATTCAATTCGTCATCAGATCTTTTCCTATCAGACTCTGCAGTCTTCAGCCTTTCAGCAAGATCATTCCTCTCTTCTTCTAGTCTCTATGGTCATACATAAAAAATCTCAAAAAGGGTAATAAAATGAAGCAAACAAAAGAACACTTCATACAAACAAGTGCAATAGGAAAGACAGCAGGGTGAATTTAGAGAAAAATAAACCTTTAACAAACTATCATCAAAAGTGCAGGTTTATGTTGAGTGGTTACCAAAGAAGCATGGACACGGACACGGACACGGACACGTGACACGACACAGATACAACACGGATATGCAAACACGGCAATTTTTAAAAAATGTAGGACACGACACGTAAGGAACACGCACAGAATATATAATTTTATATATTTATTATACGTCATATACATGAACATGTCATTCTAAGACAACAAATAAATACAATATAACATTAATTTCTATAAATTGACATTATTTTTCCTTTATCATCTTATTCTAAGTTATTTTGTTCAAACTTATAATTAGTTTCATGTGTTTAGTCAATGGACACGCGTGGCCTCTAAGTGTCCAAAGAGTGTCCGAGTCCTAAATTCTTTATAAAAAACTCGGACACGTTTGGATGAGTGTCAGACATGTGTCGGGAGGGTGTCCAATGAGTGTCGTGTCCGTACGGACACGACACGGATACGCTACATTTTTGGAAGTGTTCGTGGTGTTGGAATGTGTCTCACATCGCTTGGAGTTGCTCCATCTATGCTAATTATAAACCTCCAGTTTCCATCTCCTTAATACTTGGATTTTAAAGATAAGCGTGGGCTGGACTTTTCAATTTAGTATCAGAACTTGGTTGGGCCTGTGATTGGTGTGCCGTTTGTCCGGCTACTGTATGTTGCGGTCCAGGAGGGTGCGTAGGAATGTATCCCACATCTCGCCTGGAGTTGCCCCATCTATACTGGTTATAAAGCTCCAGTTTCCCTTTCCTTAATATCTGAGTTTTAAGGATAAGTGTTCTTAGGTGGTTACTAACATAGTTATAGCAAAAAATTCCACTAGTACGTCTTTTCAGACTAATAAGTGTTCTTAGGTGGTTACTAACATAGTTATAGCAGAAAATTCCACTAGTACGTCTTTTCAAACTAAATGGCCACGTTGCACAACAACGGATTATTTTTCCAATTAACCAACACAAATTGAAGCAGATAATAGGAATCGTAGAAGTGGCATTCTTCCTATAAACATTTGCTTTAGAATCTAGAAAAGGTAGATAATTGTAAATCATCTCATCGCTACTATAGTGCGAGTGTGTCCATTGCTATAGAGGAGGAAACATTTAGTGACCAGTTCTTGTCTGTTGCACACAATGGCACTGCAGTCAACTAAGCCTTCAGGCTATTTTACATTTCATGGAACTCGTGCCTGATTTTCTAGATTATAAGCCAATTTTCTAGTGATTTGGTCCTAAGGATCTGATTTACTAGTGAGCATTTTTCTGCAGGGCTTTTCTGAAATCTCCAGCAGGTAGGGAACAAGGAACACGAGAATCTGTTGAAGATATTATATATGTATGTATATGTTTTTTAAAATTTTTTTTGTCAAGTAAAATATATTAAAGGGGCACCAAGGGGGTGCACCCCGTATACAAAACTTCTCTACTTTAACATCAAGGAAAGACTATTCAAAATTCTCTACGAGATTCAAAAATAGGTTCAAAGAACCCCAGCTATCCCTTTTGTCTGGAAGAAAATCACTCAATAGGGCTAGGAAGAGATGCGTCACTGAACACCAACTACACAAAATAAACAAAATTATAAGTTTAAAAAAGCCTCTTCTTTCTTGTCCAAAAATAGGCTTTTCAGGATGTTGGCAATTGAAAGAGGTTAAAAGAAGAGAACTGTAGCACCCCTCTTCTTTTTATATGTACATTTTTTTATTTCAATAATTTTTATGTATATTACCAGCAGGAAAGAAAGGAATAATAAAAAAAGTGCTTGTTCAAATGTGAGCCCTAAACTCTTGGATTAACCTGTAGTAGCTCCAAAAAAAATTGATGAACTTGAGAGGAGATACAAACCTGGAAGGCACTAAAATTTGCTTCCATCCCATTAATGTCTGTTTCAAGTTGGTTAATCCTTTCGTCCTTGTCCAACTTCTCTCGTTGAAGTTGCTCCACTGTTAGTTTCAATTGCCCGATCTCATCCTGAAGTGAATGCATAACATTTGTTTGAACCTCGTTCAAGCAATTCAATTTGTCATCAGATCTTTTCCTAGCAGACTCCGCAGTCTTCAGCCTTTCAGCAAGATCATTCTTCTCTTCTTCTAGTCTCTAAGGTCATACATAAAAATTTTAATAAAGGTAGTAAAATTGCTCTCTCCTAGAGATACAATACCAGAAATAAAAATAAAAAAATAAAAACTTCAGGTGAAAGAAAGCAAGTTGTTCACGAGGGGCTCAAAATAACAAATAATTGAAGTATAATCTTAATAAAATGAAGCAAACAAAAGAGGAATTCAAACAAACAAGTGCAAAAAGAAAGACAGCAAGTATATTTAAAGAAAAATAAACCTTTAACAAACTATCATCAAAAGTGCAGGTGTGTTTTTTGAGTGGTTACTAACTTGGTTATAGCAAAAAACTGAACTAGTATGTCTTTTCAGACTAACTGGCCACATTGCACAACAATGGATTAGTTTTCCAATTAACACTAAATTGCATAAAGCAACAGATAAAATTCAAGTTTTCTTTTGCATGCATAATTTCTACAGGAAATTTTTAAGAGGTATTCTGTTACACTGTTAGCTTGCAAAACATAAAGAGGAATCAGGAAGACACTCACTGGTAAGAATGATTATAAATTCAATCATTAGAGAGTATTAGCAAATACAGATTCATATTTTTTTGATCAGCAACATGAAAATTTTAATAAAAAGGAATTTAGCATACATAGATAACACTCAACAGCATTGTAAAGTTAACCATGTAAAAGAGACACTTATTAATTGTCAGCCACATATGATGCAGAGAAAATCCAACATAACTACATAATGATGTTTTTCAGCACCCATAAAAACACAGCAATGAGTCATGCAGTTTCTTATGTGGTTACATGATTGCAAACTGTTCAAGGTATTATGTCACTTAGTCAATACCTAGGGCTCCCATTCTGATCAAACCTCGCCACTATGCCACTTAGTGAAATTTGAACAAGTTCAGTCACATTTAAATGGGTATTATTGATGCTCTCGGTCATATCCTAAAGGCTTTCAAACGCTGGTCATGACAACATTATGCTTAAAGTCTCGGATCATAGCTGCAGTCAGCCATTCAAAGCCGACTATTTCCAACATCTAACAATCTAAAATGAGGTCAATAAATCCAGCATTTCGGTTTCTGTCAAACATCCATGGTAATATGTTCCGATGTGCACGGAACAATGAATAATTACAGATTTACCAACTCAAAACCATGCGCACTAGCCCACCCTATAGATTAACCCCAGAAATAGGAACGTAGCAAGGCGCAACAATCCATGCCCCATAAACAACTTGCTTAGATATGCTGAACACTACATATCATCATGATCAAAATGACATGTTAAAAATGTTTAAAGAAGCCCCACTTTTTTCCTAGTTGGGTGGTCTTAGGACAGATGGAATTCCATATAGAAAAAGTTACTCTCCTTGAAACTTCATGTAATCTATCTATCTATTTTTTATTTATTTTGATGGTATCACCTCATTAGAATTCTTACCACATTCCCCCAGGCATCATCCCCTCCAACAGATCTTCCATAAATCTCTTAATTTATTTCTGCTTCTGTCACCAAGGCATTTAAGACATGGTTAAACCAGCGAATTACTAACTCCTATTGAGTCAAATAGTGATACATAAATTAGGGTACGCAAGTTTCTAAAATCATATTTAAGAATTGAAAAAACTAGCTATAGCTCAAAAATCATGATTCAAGATTCATACACCATCATAGAATTAGGAATCATATACTTCCTTCCATAATCCTCATTACACTTTGCCATACATACAATTGCATATTTATTACTAACACATGATGTCTAGGTTTTTGTGCGTGCTTTATTGATTACTAGAGCATATATATAATCAATTTTCTCAGTTATCATCCTAAAATATATGCTTTTAAAAAGAGAGGGAGAGAGAGAGAGGGAGAGAAAAAAAATGTTTTCCTTATTATTTTTTCCATCCAAAAAATCATTAGCACACATTTTCGATAGCACTCTAAATTCATGAATTTGAAGCCATGTCATACCTTCAAATCATCACTATTCCTCGACTTTAGTAGAGAGAATTGTGTCTCCCAATTATGAAGACTGTCCTCATAAACATTTTTCTCTGCAGATAGCTTTGTAATTTCATCATTCTTCTGTGATCGACACAATTCAAGCTGATGCTTGAGATTCTTCTTTTCCTTAGCAGAACGGTCTATCTCAAGCTTCAATTTAGACTGCCAAATTCATGGAAAAACTCAAAATTAGAATGTGTGATGGCATTTAAATGAGCCAAAATCAGCAGACAGTAGTGATTGGATACCTTAAAATGGTTAGTAGTGGCCTCAGATTTACTTAGCTTTTCCAACAAACTAGCCTTTTCTCTAACCATATTGGCATGTTCAGCTCTTTTTTCTTCCTGTGTACGCAAATTTTGGTCCTCACTAACATGTAGCTGATCTCTAAGAGTTGCAAGCTTAACATTGGCAACCTCAGAGACCTCCCTCATCATCTTAAAAATTGGTCCAGCAAGTCCCAGTTCCTCATTAACCAAGAATAGCAAAGTACTGAAATTTCTATCTGCTTGATGTACATTTTCAGTATGGCTTATCGCATGATCAACTAGTCCTTTAAGCATCATCTTATGATAACTCTCATCAGCAAACAATCTAAACAATGTAGCATAAAACATCTGTGCAAACTGATACACTCTGGAGTCGAGAGAGAGAGAGAAACTTTCAACAAGATCCATAAGCAAGACAAAAGCATAAGCTTCAATCAGAGACGGCTCAATTTTTTCATCGGCTGCTACATCTCTTTGCTGGTTTTCTCCAGCCAAAACAATTGGACCAATATTTAGTCTTAAAGCAAGACATCTTTCCAAGACCGTGGACACTGAGTGAACCACAATGGATCCTTGAGAAACAGCTCTCTCAAAAACTTGGAAAGCTTCACGTTTGAGGGAAGGTACAGATAACAGCTGAATTAAAGTGAAGATATCAGAAAAATGACGATTTTCACGAAGAATCTGATCATCCATCATATTCAACCCTGTAGCCCTATGTTCATCTTCGTCATATAAGAAGGTTCCACCAGAGGTAGTTAAATCTTTGTCATCAAGTTCAAAACTGGAATCAACATCTCTCAAGAAAGCTTTGGCAATTTCACAGCAATTAGTTACAATTTCGCTTAGGAAATTCAACACACAAGGTGATACCTCAATCCCCAACCTACACAGCCTTACACGAACAACCCTGACCTACAAATAGGGAGAAAACAAGATTTAAAATAAGAACAACTCAGAAGATAATCCAACTTCTAACTTAGTTGTTCCTGTACATACAGCTTTAGAAATATGCTGACAATGAGAAGCAGCCTCGAATAAAAAGCCAATGGTAGTTGCAAGTGCTCCATCATTTGACTTTACCACCAGTTTGGAAGTAAGGAAAAACACATGTTCCTGCACCTCACTGCTGAGGTCCAATTGACTAATGACAGAAAAGACCTGTGGAGAAAAATAAAAGAAGGTTTATACAGGACGATGGTACTAAAAAATAGTTTACAATATATGGTATGGCTTCATTCCCATTCCCTAGCACTTCATGTTCGTTGTGTTGGTCTGAAAGACAATATAAAAAAGGCTACAACGTCATGGAGAATGAGGGATTCAAACTCTAGGTCAATCCTATATAACTCAAATCCTAGAGCACACAAAAGGAATCTTCTGGCATTTGCATTGGAGGTTGTAACAATGAAGGACTAAAATTTGCATACAAATCAAAATCTTTGTAATTTATCCTCCTGCAAAAGAAAAATGAACCCAACTAAATGAAAACAAACATGTTGGAATGAAAACTCATTCCTCCTCAAAATCTAAACCTTGGAAAACTGCTAAAAGACTTTCGAATTTCACAACAAACAGTAAAAGAAGAACAAAACTGAAATGAACAAAAGAAAGGAAGAGGACTATCCAATACCAAATAAAAGGTTTAAATAAGCAAAATGTTCTTGAAAGGTCATTTGAAAAACCTTTTGTGTAACTAAATATCATGTGAATACAGCAGATTTATGCCAAATCTTACAAGAGTTCAGGAACCCATGTATCGGATTAATAAAGGAAGGAAACTCATAAAACAAGACCGTGAATCTTGTGCTCAACACAGAATGGATTTGAGTTCTGATTATATATACCCACCAATTTTGTCCAAATTCTATCAAAACTGATGAATAAGTGTACTGAAATATATGAAATTAAGTTCCTTTACAACATAAAAGAATCATAAGATTTCACAACCAAGATATATATTCTAGCAGCTTTGGGAAGGAACTAGGAAGCCCTATATAAGGGGAAAGGAAAGGTATCTTACTGGTATTTGGAGTTCAGGGTCTGCATCTGGTCTCGAAAGTTGATGTATCAGTGCATAAGCAGCACGTGAATGATCAACTAGCTTGGGCACCAAAGTAATTAGGTCTAGCTGCAGTTGTTTTGGAGCTTTGTCCAGTACATGAGAAATCTTTTTTACAGATACAGGCCATCGTTTTGGTTTTGAGCAACCTTGTGGAACAGTATCACAAAGACACTTCAGAGAATTAATTATCATAGATAAGAGCTCCTCAGATGGCTCAGGCCATTTAATCTGGATACAGATCAACAAATAAACACTCCAAGTCATGAATGCAGATGCAATTGTCTACTGAATTTAAAATAAGCATACCTTTAGATCTTGAATAGAATTGATCGTCAAAAGGTCTATTGCTGATGTTTCGGAAGGAGGACTTTCAAGGATAGCTTTTTCGGATACATCAGTTCTCTTCTCCTCTAAGGTCTTATATTTGGGGTATTGAGCAGAATCTTCTGGTCCATTTTGCCTAAGAAATTCTGCTCGACTGAAAACTCCACTTCTATGCGAAGGAGGTTCGGAACTTGTATCATAATAATCTACACTAGATACACTAGATCTGGTTTCCAAGTGCCGGCAATATTCAACTATTATATCTAGAAGTAAATCAATGATTACCTGTTGGGAGGCCTTAGCCTGATTCCACACTTTGATTTGTGAGGACGACAATTCAGCTTCTATATCAATATTTCTAGCGAAGTTATCCATCGCACTTAGCAAATATTTTGCCTTAACAGGTTCAAGGTAATTGTGAAGCTTCAACATAGTACTCCACATCCAACTAGCCTCGATCAAAAAAGATTTTGTGACATTGGGCTGTGGAAGGCTATCAATCCTAAGGCCGTGTCTCCTAAGAAAGCTTTCCAATCTGTTGTCTACATTTTCACTAGTTATTTCAAAGTATTCAGGAGGAGTACATTTGTCAAGGTAATTTGAAAGCCCCAATACCTGAAAGGGAAAATCAACAGTTGAAGAAAGGCATATGTGGAATAGTAAAAGAATAAACAACTAGCACGCGCTACATGTTGAAATAATCCAAATAATAGCGTCAATAATAGTAATTACATTCAGATAGCCCATCACTAGTACAAGAAGAATAACCTTCAACGCATACTCAATCCTCTAACAAGGGCCAATGGTCCAGTGGTTCACACTCGGTCCATTAACCTTGAGGTTAAGTCTATATCCAATCTACCTCTCCTAGACCCCCATCCAATAAGGACTAAATTACGTCTACATATAAGAAGCACAGACACATCCAAGAAGGTGCGGGGCTGTGTTGTGTCCGACATGTTTCCAACATTGGCACTCATTGGACACTTCCCGACATGTGTCAAACACACATCCAAATGTGTCGTATTATTTTTATATTTTTTTTAGACCTAGACACGTTTTGGACACTTGGAGAACATCCATCACTTAAACACACATAAAACACATTATAAGTTTGAACAAAATAACTTACAAAATACAATGATAAAAACAAAAATAAAAATAAAAAAACAATACATATTCATACCTATTAATCTCTCCCTCCCTTAAATTTTGGAAATTAGAGTTCTCTATTATCTTTGAATGAAATTATCAAATATATGACACATAATAATTATATAAAATCATATATTTTGTGTAGGTTCCCCAACATGTCGTGTCCTACAAATTTTGAAAATTGACGTGTTGCCATGTCTGTGTTGTGTTGTGTTGTGTCACTAACCCGTGTCCATGCTTCTTAGGTGTACATGCTCAATCCTCTCCAGTTGGCATTCCTAATTCAAGTGCATAGGCAACATCCATCACCAGGTGACTGTGCTTCCGTAATTTATGACCTACTGGGACTTCTCAAAATTGTTTTCTAAGTGCACACATCTGAGCATTAATTTCCCCTGATTATCTATAGATATGAATCAGTCATTATTTAAAAAGTACAAAAACTCTTCTTGTTCACACAAGGTATAGGGTGTTAGTAGCAAAGTTAATGAGTCAAGATGAATTCCTTGAGAGTTTTAGGTGGACCAATTTTATTATGATTATTATTATTATTTTTAGGGGGGGGAAAAAATTGGAAAATGGAGTTAAAATTTAATGTATAAAGAGAATTGTATAGAGAATGAATGATGTATTATTGATCGATGTATGTTATGGTGTGTTGAGCTCTCTCCTTTATAGAGGAGAGGGGGAACAATTACAAACCGAAAGTAGAAGCACAAACCAAACAACATTATTAAAGGTACATTATTAAAGCATACTAATTATTATACTAACCTAATTATTAAAGCAACATTTTACATATTATATTCTAACAAAACCAGTTTTGCTTCATAGTTCATAGAAGGTATGATCACATGACATTTTGAAGCATAATTGAGCTCTACTACATGTTTGGAGTAGAAGGATAAGGCTGGTAAAAGATGAAAAACAAACTAGGTCTGAGATCAATAGCAAGAAAAACAAGTACACAAATAGAAAAAAAACAAAAAAGAAATAAAGAACAAATTATTACATATCCCAAGAAACAAAAGTCAAGTATTCAGAATATTTAGAATCATACTGAAATTCCAAAACTTAGATGATCTAAATTTGACATTTACATAATCATGATGAAAGCTGTATCAGGAAGGTGGAGGTGAGTCGTCTCACAAGCTTACGTTTTATTTCTATTTTTTCAGCTCTGTACATTACACAATTGTAGGAGAAATACAAAAGAGCCATTTGAAATTCTAAAGAGAAATTCATTTGACAAAGAACAGTATTTACACCTTCAACTTTCAATTGAGTCCCTTACTTTAGGCAACTAGCCATTGTGGTGATTTTCAGAAGTCATTCTTCAATATAATTGTTTTCAAATACATACTACATAGGTTTAACTTCAACTACAACAATAAAATCTTATCTAACTGAAATTATAGTCCTTGATAGGGTGTAATGGTAGTAGAATAAGCTACCCTGGCTACTCGTGATAAGGCCTTATCTTTTTATGCACTACGACGTATGCCAGAATGGAATAAATAATAGAAACAATTTGGAATATGCTCTTTCTTCCTTTTAGCTGCAACCCCTTTGAAAACTTGGGAGTAGATGGCAAACCATGACCAAGTTGACAAACATGAGTTTGACTCTAGAAATCAATACAAATAATACCGGGCATTGGGCTTTGACAATTAATTATCTTATCATAAATAGCATGCGCAGCAGACCAATTACTGGTATATTTAAAAAATACTTGACATAATAGTAAAACCAAACATACTAACCCCTGGTTTTGAAGACTCGGTTGATGGGCCATGATGAAGAATCTGACACAAGAAGATAACCGATTCATGATAAAGAAATCCATTATCTGGGTCCAGAATGTCTGATACTTTCATGGACATGCTAACACAATACTTTGACTTTGTACATACAGTTTCTTCATCATGCCAGCTCGTGGAAATGCATTTATAATTCAGCAAACCCATCCTGAACCTAACCTCAAACACCGTATCAGGATCATTCACAACAGACGGAGAACACTCCAAAATTGCAAAAATCAAGTCTAAACGCTGGCAGACCCCTGCTTTACAATCATGTAAACATTCATGATGAGAAAACCACCAAATAAATGAAAAGGCCAAACCAAAAACAACTCAACTAAACCATCTATACTGAGTACTGACTCACCAATCCGACACTTGCATTTGCCAATTTGGAAAGTTTGGCTAACTATTGTTGTTTTGGTTTCTAAAATGTTCTTGAAATGTAAGAAGTTACTCATTCTCCAATAGAAAAGCTTGCCTTCATCGACTAAAAAGGCCTCACAAACCTTCTCCAAAAATGTCTCCTCCAAAATTAGAACCTCTGCAAAAAAGTTAACGGTGTCCGCAACAAGAAACCCAGAATCCTGATCAAAGAGACTATTCAGAGGCATGAACCGACACCAGCCCAATTCTTTTGTAGCATTGAAGAAACGATTTATCCCGTCAGAGGATTTATCCCAATCCATACTAACAGATTTATCCAAGTTCTGGTTCATCACAGATAACCGAAAAGATATATAATAACTCCAATCAGACAGTTTATCCGGTCTTTCCATAACCTCCAGATAAAATGAAAGGTAACCTGGTGACTGAGATTCCCCTGGTGCCATCGAGCATAAGCATGTAAGCCCATCAGTTCTGTTGCATTTCAAAAGTTACACAAACTAAAAAGCATACCACAAGTTCTAACTGAAACATGTATCAGACAAAGATTAATTCATTTTTATCGCCTAAATTGTTGTCATTTTTTCTATATCATCTTTAAACTATCAACTCCATTTATTTAGTCCATAGAGTTGTTGATTTCACTTTGTGGCAAAGTTGTAGAAACACATCCCAAATCCAATCAGTAACTCTGAAAGCATAACATAATGAGAAAAAGGGTAATTTTACAAATTGAATAACCTAAAGGGTAATGCTAAAATGACCATCTAATTGTAGCATCCTATCTTACTATGTCAGTCTAATTATCATTTAGGATGACCATGTATTCTTATCATCTTATGTTTACCACATTATGTGTCGAACACTACAATATTGAGTGATGGAATCCATTAAACCAATGTTAAATGGTAAACACAAAACGATAAGAATATATGGTCAGCCTAGCATTATTGTAGTGACATACATGAGTGCGGTGAGACCCACTACACTAATGTTGCATTGACAAGTTACAGGGTAACATAAATATGTTATACAAAACCTAGTAAGTGTAGGCATTATTGTAACCTAAATCATATAACTAAGGAAAATTCTACTATAGACACCCTTTAAAATTCATGTATCATTTGCATCCCTAATTATGCTATTTTCTTCTTTAGTTAAGACTAATTTTCTTCTTTAATTATTTATAATATTATTTTAGTTATGAAGATTTTTTATTATGCTAGTTAGGATTTTTTTTCTTTTAATTATAACTCATAAAATATAGAATTATGTTATTTTATTCTTAAGTTATAAGGTACATATGATATATGACCTTTTAAGAGGTGTGTACCGTTGTCCGAAGTGTTTATATAACTAAACACCCATCTTTCTTCACTTACATTTATGTAACAAATTTGAAATAACCCTTCTACCAAACAAATTAGGGTTATTTTGAGAAGATAATTAAAAGTCATCTTCTAACTTTTAACCATTTTAGATCACATCATTTTTCATATTTTTTACACATTTTTTTCAAAAAAAACCCAAAAAAATAAATAAGTTAACTTCTAACCATCTCCTCCTCGAAACAATAGTTATTGGTTTCTCGGAAACCCGGTCATTAAAATAAAATAAAAAAAAAAAATTATTGGTTTGGACAACCGAGCAAGGATCCTCTAGAGTTTTTTTTTCCTAAAGTTTCCTAGAGTGGTGCATTGTGTGGTTGAGATTTAATGACAAGTCACATCAATTTTTCAGCATTAAATCTCAACCATACAATACACCACTTTAGGAAACTTTAGGAAAAAAACACTCTAGAGGATCCTTGGTATGGACAACCGGCCCAATTGGACCACATCAGCTAAAATAAAAATAAATAAAAAACTAGATAGATAAAAATGATACCTTAAAGATCAAATTAAAATGAAAAAAATAAATAAATAAACAATAGTAATTTAGAAGATAAAACTGAAATTAACCCATTAGGTAAAAATGTAATTTTAGTCTAAAATACTCAAATAATCAAGACATTAAATTCTGTTAATTTTACTTGTAAAAAAAAAATGTTTATACCATGTTCTTCCACCACTGCCACTGCCATTGCCACCACCACCACCACCGGCGGCTCCATTTTTTCCGATCAAATTGCAACATTTCTTGTATCGCCATTATTAATACAGAAACAAGGCGAAATGTCACCTACGAAACCTCTTGAGCCGAAACTAAGTTGTTCTCTACCGAATAACCCCAAGAGAGTCGATATAAATTTGTGTTCTTCTTCTATCTATGAAATTGGGGTTTCGGAGCAACGGAATTTGGTCATACACGTCAAATTGTAACCGTCTCCGTTTCTGGTCAAGTTTCAATGTTGCTCTTTCTTATCCTACCGTATAAATTTTTAACAAAAAGTCAGTAATCTAATACTCCTTCCTTTTTGAAGAATCTAATTTTTTGACTGTATAATTATTATATTTTAAAAATATTAATTTTTCAAAATTATTTTTTTGATAATACATTTTTATAGAAATATCAATTATTATAATTGTACTTTTTGTATTAGTAGTGAATTTAAAAGAAAGATAAAATAATAAATTCATATTATTTTATTATTTAGTTTTTGAGAAAACACTAACATTTTAAAATAATGAAAAATAAAATAAGGAACTAATAATTTGAGACGAATAAGTAATATATGGTTATGATACGAGGATAAATGAGAAAAACCACTCTCATATTTTGTTCTAAAATTCATATTAAATTATATTCGGATAAAATAAAATAAAATATAGATTGTGAATAATTAAAGAGATGGCTGAGATTTTGCATAAATTGAAATCAAAAAGTTATGTTTTCCATACCAACGCAATTTTTTGTTTATTCCTCTTCATTTGTGTTTTTTTTTTTTTTGCATAAATTGAAATCAAAAAGCTAGGTTTTCCATACCAAATCAATTTTTTGTTTATTCCTCTTCATTTGTGTTTTTTTTTTTTTGTTTCCTTTTCAATTTCTCTACTACCTTTTATTTCAAAATCTCTATTTTTTTATTTTTTCATCCCTATTTATATCAAATGAATATATATATATATATACATACATTGTATGGTAAATGTTAGCAAGTGTCCTATGAATATTGTTTAATGTTGGAAACTGTGTAAAAAATCTCTTAAAAATATCTAAAAATATTAAAAAATGTATTAAACCTAGTGAAAAGTGTATTGTGTCTTATAAATATTTTGTCTTTTGCTTGTTATTAGCAAAACCCATATTGTATTTGAGAGGGTAATTTTTGGGAAAAATTGGGCCGAGCTGCGAGTTGGGCATCGAGGCCCAAAACGCGTAGGACTAAGTAAGAAGGCCGCAAAAATATCAATTATTATAATTGTACTTTTTGTATTAGTAGTGAATTTAAAAGAAAGATAAAATAGTAAATTCATATTATTTTATTATTTAGTTTTTGAGAAAACACTAACATTTTAAAATAATGAAAAATAAAATAAGGAACTAATAATTTGAGACGAATAAGTAATATATGATTATGATACGCGGATAAATGAGAAAAACCACTCTCATATTTCGTTCTAAAATTCATATTAAATTATATTCGGATAAAATAAAATAAAATATAGATTGTGAATAATTAAAGAGATGACTGAGATTTTGCATAAATTGAAATCAAAAAGTTATGTTTTCCATACCAACACAATTTTTTGTTTATTCCTCTTCATTTGTGTTTTTTTTTGTTTCCTTTTCAATTTCTCTACTACCTTTTATTTCAAAATCTCTATTTTTTTTATTTTTTCATCCCTATTTATATCAAATGAATATATATATATATATATATATACATACATACATTGTATGGTAAATGCTAGCAAGTGTCCTATGAATATTGTTTAATGTTGGAAAGTGTGTAAAAAATCTCTTAAAAATATCTAAAAATATTAAAAAATGTATTAAACCTAGTGAAAAGTGTATTGTGTTTTATAAATATTTTGTCTTTTGCTTGTTATTAGCAAAACCCATATTGTATTGTATTATATAATTTTACATGTTTAACACATATGACAAAATGTGTATTGATTGAAAATAGAGATAATTTTTGTCTTTTGTCCGCATTTCTCATTTTGTAGTCACCTACTTGTCATATGATTAGATTATATTAAAGACTTAAACAATGGAGCTCAGAAAGGGTCTTTGACACTTTACTAAAAGTGCAAGAAGTTAACTATTACAATTTCATGTATTGAGACTAAAGTGAAATTTGATACAAAGTGCAGAGTTTAAATTGTAATTTACCTATAGATTATTATGAAACTGTGTTGTTTTGACTTTCCAAAATTAATTTTTTAAATTTTAAATTTTTTGGGGGTAATTTTTAGTAATATTTTTGTTAGTTTTTTTAAAAATTTATTTAATTTAAATGCACTTAAGAAGTATAAAATTTGTGAAGAAATCTGTAAAAAAATTTAATAAATACAAAAAGATAAGAAAATATATTAATTTTTTGTAAAAAAATCATAAATTAAATATTTTTGTAAGTGTATCTAGATTAAATGGATTCAAAGAGTAAAAAAAATAGTAAAACAATTAAATTTTTTTACTAAAAAAATACAGATTAAATTTTAAAAACTATTTTTGAAAATTTTAAAACCAAATAGAGTGGTTTTGAATTTTTATTTTTATTTTTATTATTAATCATTAAAATTTCTAATTTCATAGTTTGATCGTTATCCAAATCAGTAATCCTCAAAATTTAATTTAAACTATATAATTAAACGCTTGTTATATTATTTAGATTTAGCAATGAGAGGAAAAAGAAAGATATTTGGTTATCTAATTTAAGTCATTAAAATTGTAACCCCAAGTTTTTAAAATATAATAACCTCCCTGCTACTTCACTTTTCTCCTTTTGTTATTTGGTCGTGAGCTTAGTGTCATTTACAATAATTACATTTGCCTACTGTATTTTTAACAAACTTTTGGGATGAGACAATGGTAAGATAAATTATTCTGTGTGTCTTGAATTCAAATAACATACATGTGTCGATTTAATGATTGACTAAAATTGAATCCGTTTACAATTTTCAAATTTGACCTAATCAATTTGCAAATTTGCAAGGATTGCCACAAAATCTGTCAATTCGTGCACTAGAGTGCAATTCGTCTTCCAGTGTACACAATTTGACTTAGGTTTTTGCTGTTGAGCATTTGATGGAAATGGAGTGTTCAGTAAAAAATTATTGTAGTAGTGAGGAGGGCAGTAGAAGGTGACGAGTAATAACAAAGAGATGAGAAAAGGTATTGGATAGTCGTCAGTGCGAGAGATAAGTGATATAGGATTACCGAGTTATTTTAGGAAAAAATTAGTAAAATATTCCTCACTAACTTTGTGTAGTAAGAAAGGTCTAAAATATTTTTTTTATTAATTAAGTTTCTCGATAAAATTTCTCTCTGATCATACAAAAGAAATTTCAAAATTTCTTTGTGAAATCAGAGAAATTTCTCTTTGAAAAATGAAATTTCTCTGTGTTAGAGTCGAAATTTCTCTGAGTCAAGCAAAATTTCTCTGAGTTAAATTTCTCTAAAAATTGAAATTTCTTTGTGTAGTATTAGAGGTCCATGATTTTTTTATTATTTAAGGTTCCTCGATAAAATTTCTCGGTGATCATACCAAAGAAATTTTAAAATTTCTCTGTGAAAATTGAAATTTCTTTATGTCAATGATGAAATTTTTCTAAGTCAAATTTTCTCTATAAAAATATCGAGAGACCTTAATTACTATGAAAATATTGTATATCTTTTATCTTATAAAATTTTAATATCAAGACTTTAAAAAAAATTCCATTTTTTTAGATAAAAAAATGAAGACAAGAATTATTTTAATCCAAAATTACATGAAAAATGGAACGACAAACAAATTGATTAAAAAATTCACAGTGCTTCGTGTTTGTTACCTCTAGGATAAATCACCAGACGAAGATCCTGATCTCCAATCTTCAACGTTTGGCTCTTAACATCGAGACCTGTGATCTTCCTCTTCTTCAGACGATCCTTCAACTTTGTGAAATTCTCAATCTTCCAAATATAAAAATTTGAAAACAAATCAGGTTTATGAGGAAGAACACACTTTTTCGGAAACTCGATCGATTCTTTAATGACTTGAAAAGATACCCTGAACATAGCAGTACTATCATCATGATCATGATCATGAACAAGAAAACCCTTGTTTGGTTCAATAAATCTTGAAAATTCCATGAAATCAATCCAACCAATAGGTTTAGTTTCCCCAATTCGGCCATGTGAGTCTCTGTGAATGCTTTCACGACTGGACTTGTGATTCAACACTGACATTCTAAACATGCACCAATTCGATTTCTCTGTTTGTTCTTCACTGTTTAAAAACAGGGATAGATAATCAACATCATCAATCACACTCCGATGAATCGAAATCCGAAGAATACAATCTTCAGCTATAAAGGAAGGGCTCATTAGCTTATGATTCTTGATTAATTCAACAAGCAAACCGAAATTCTTCAGAGTCCAAGTGAATTTCCCACAATTGAAGCTCGATTCGTTGTTATCTTGTGTAAACGATGTTGATTCATCCAAGATTCGAATATCGGTGGTGATTGTCAAAGTATCATCAATATTGGAGATAAAGCCTAATTTGGGGTCAAGAACTGTTGAAGAGAGTCCGACGTCGTTCCAACCGTAAGACCTCTCCTTTTGGGTGAATCTATATAAGAAAACTCTGCTCATAGAGTTGGATGCATTTAGAGTGTTGAGTATAGAGATCTTGAAGTAAATCAAGGAATCGAACTCAGTTCCTAGAGTGTCATTAACTTGAAGGTAGATAGAATCACAGGTTGAGAACAATGCGATGCGACAATTCAAGCTTCCGTTGAGTTTGAAGCGATTGCTTAAAACTGACTCCACCTCTGTGAAGTCTGGGATCGCCCATCGCCGTGTTGGCGGTGGTGGGGCTTCAAGCTTAGGCTTCATATCAATAGTGAGAATGGTTTTTCTTGGATTATCAGAGTAGAGAGAGAGAGAGAGAGAGAGGATTGGATTGGTTTGGTGATTCGGTTTGATTTTTGTTATGTTCTCTCTCTCTAAATCTATATATGCAAGCATCCAGTTTTGGAGAGAGAGAGAAAGAGAGCGGTTAGCGAATAATTTGATTAAATAGCGAACTACTTTTTGAATTTCCCGCGAAATTGATACTTGGTAGAACCATAAAGAGTAATATTAGAATGATAATAGTAGGGAGAACAAATTTTCTATTAAATAAATGATTAAATGTCTCATATTAGACATTTGATCACTTATTTAGTAAAAAATTTGAGATTTATAACATTTTTCATATTACAAATCCTTCACAAAAATTAATTTACACCACACTGAATCTCACATTATATAAATTAATTTTCACACATAATTACTCAGAATTTTTTGGATAAATAAGGATAAGTCTCTGGACTTTTCCAACCATAAAACTAATTGGGTATTTGGGTACCTAGCCTTGTTTGGCAATTCTTCATTTTTAGTTTAAAATTTTAAAAGTCAATAAAAAAAGTTAACAAATTATATAAAAAAAAATCAAAAAATTTCTTTTATTTTTTTTATTTATAAAAAGTTAAAAAATCATCCTAAACATACTATTTTTTTTTTTACTTCATAGTTTAACCAAAAAAATTAAAAAATTACTAAAATAATATGTTCCCAAACAAGATGCTAAAAAAATAAAGTAATTATATTTGCACATCACTATTTCACTTAGTTTGTACCATTTTCATTTTTTTTGGGTAAATTACAAATACACCCCCTAAGATTTACTTAAGTTACAAATTACCCTCTATGGTTCTAGAAATTATATTATGCCTCCTAAGGTTTTCAATTTCATAACAAATAGGTCCTTTTATTAATAAATTATCAAGTTAATTAATAGTTTTTAATAAGGGGAATTGACTAGTAAATCCCATTTTGTGGACTTGTAATCCATAAGGTCCTGAATGTTTTTTTAGTGACTGGGTGGTCCCTTAATTTGTTTGTTGACAGTTTTGCCACTGCTAGTATTATTGATTGACATTTGGTGTGGGTTTGTATGGGATAAGGTGAATGGATGTTTGTATGTCATGTTGATCGAAAAAGTACACTGATGCTTTTTTTAATTTAGTATGTGTGTAACACTCAAAACATGAGACATGGGTTGTGACGTAAACACAAGTAATTTGACACATTTTTTTAGTTTTTTTTTTTTTTTTTTTTTTGTGACATGGGTTGTGTCACGTTTCGGCTTTCCCACAGTTTGACCCTTTGTTTTCCAATAGCCATTTGTGACGTTTCGACGTGAACCTTACCATTGGTTGGGTTCACGACATAACCCAAAAACATGGATCCGAATTACCAAAGCAAGCCCAGGATTGCGAATTCAATGTCGAAACATGTTGCAACGTCGAGTTCTTCAGCGAGTTCCGCACAGGGTGCAAAGCATGCATGCATTGGTTGACATTGAAAACCAGGAAAGAGATTTGAGAGAGAAACAATTTTGGTCAATCCCAATACATAATTCTTTCTCCAATTATGATTATGTAAACAACCTACAAAATCTTCTTTTATATCAGTTATATACATATACATATATATACCACATAAAATATATGAAAACATTATTCACAGAACCCATCAGGTGATCAAGCCATTCAATTAATGAGAAGTTTAGAAAAAGAATCGATAAAAGACATATATATACACGCAAATTGTTAAATTTAGGCAATCAATAATCAATCTGCCCAATTCCGTCATCAACGTCTTGTACTCTATTTTTGGGTCAATTTGACGATGCGACGTGGTACGCCGACCTGCCGGTTTGACGATCATCTTGTGCCCATTGTTCATGTCGATCTGGGGTTTCTTGATCGAGCTCAAACCAATTACGATCGCTTCAGAAGAGGCCCTGTGAAAAACGGATTTAGTACTGTTCACGTCGATCTTGTGCCCAATGTTCACGACGATCATCTTGTGCCCACTCTTCTTTTTCCCCATCTTCGTCTCCGGTGACCGTCACAGTCTCTTCTTCAGGTGCATTTCAGAGCACGGGCTTGACAAGTCCCATACGGCATTTCTCGACATCAAACAATCAGAATTCACCTCTCAGTAACAGAGGATTGAAGGGTTCAAGTGGAGGAAATCGCCGATCTTCAGGCGAAAGAAAATTTCTTTCAATGTCCAAAGAAAACACAGAGTAGTGTGTTGCTTACACAGTTCACATCCCTGCAACACCAGATCGGCTAGACATGTCTGAGTCACAGACTAGCCCCTTTGAAGACAACAAGAAATCAGGGCACCTAATGGGGGGTTCTTACATTAAGGATACTATTTACACTGGAGGATTCAATTCTGTGACTCGAGCCCATTGTAATCGAGAACTCGGTGGATGAACCCAAGGCAGTGAAATCAGAATTGGTTTGTGGAATGAAGGGTTGTTATGAGAAAGCTTAGGATGGTACTTGGAAGGGTCAGTGCGAGTGTGGATTCAAAATTTGCAAAGATATCTCTACTATCACACCTACACCCACCCCCACCAAACGTGGGATTACATATAAAAAAATGAAAACATAACAGCCCATAATTGATGTGAGGGCATATTTGTCCCCCACATAATAATGTAATTCAAAAAAGGAGTTATCAATAAGATATCTCTACTATTATGGATTGCCCAATCAAACAAAATATTCATGGGACCAAATGGAATACAATTTCGCCATATAGGACTTTCTGATAAATTCCCCTTTTAATAATGTTAAAATTTTATTTCAATTAATAATTCAAATAATTTTATTATTGTATAGGTGAACAGTTAGAAATTTCACTTTTTTAATTAATTTTGTTAAATAAAAAATTTTAACAGGTAGATATTTGTAATTTTTCAAACCATAGGGACAATTTGTATTTTAAGAAAATTTCAAGAGGTGTTTTTATAATTTATCCTATTTTTTTTAGTTGCTATGATTTCCTTGATATGAAAATGGTACGAATGCAACTAAAGTGGGTAGGAAACTCAATAGTAACAGGGGTAGGAATGGTGGCAACAACGACAGGAGAAGTGATGAGACTGGGGGTTTGCTGAAGGGAGAGGAGGGCTAGGGGTTTGGTGAAAAGGAGTTTAGACGGGGATTGTGGCAGCGACGGAGAGAGAAATGACAAGGCTAGGAGGAAGGACGCTGGCTAATCACCGACCGCATTAGCAATGGCAAAAGGGGGTGATAGCTAGGTTAGGGTTAAGGTTTGAATTTGAGATTGGAAAAGGAGAGAGTATTTTGATATTATTTGAGCATAGATGGTGTGTGTTCATAAAAAATCAAAGAATCTAAGCTGAGCATGGGGTAAACTGAGAGAATTGTGAGATTATGGTGTGCACTAAGATAATGGTTAATGTGAAAATAAAATTTTTCAAAAAAATATTTTTAAGCCTTGCATGAAACATTAAAGAGAGGTGCATAGAATTGATACACAAAAAACTATTGTATGATTGAAATTTACTCATGTATTATGGGATACATTTAAAATAAATCTGTGTCACACAAATTTTTTTAATTATAAATATTTCTATAGATGAATTTTGTATACTTAGGTCACATTTGTTTGGGCACTTGGAGGGTGGAGTTGGATTAAGATGGATGTTGGATCCATGAATCTATGTTTGGTTAATTCATGTAAGTACTGGACTAGCACTCACTCGGATTCACAATCCTCCCCAAAGACCGGATTAGTATAGTTGTGAAAAGAGTGTGATTCGAAAAATAGTGAGCGGATTGAATCTATTCTGTCATCCGGCTGATTGACCAGAACAGTGTAATTTTGTTTTTTCTTACAAAGCCTTCATTTGGGATGTGGGTTGACTTTTTGACTATTTTAGCTTGGGGCTAAAAAGTCTCGCTTGTGATAGGTTTTTTGACTTTTTTGACTTTTGTAAGAAAAAAATAAAATGATTATGGTTTAGATGTGATGTGATGTGTTGTCTTATTAGACTAAAAAACTTATTTTGTCTTTTTGTGACTATTTTACCCCAAAAAGAGGATGCCAAAACATAGCCAAAATAGCTAGCCGACCAAAAACACCTGCTTGTTTTAATATTTGTTTTAATTTTTTTTAAATATAGAAATAAATTATTTATTTATTTTATATAAAAATAATTTAATAATTCCATAACTAATCGTCTCATACATTATCATAAAAACAAATACATCTTACTTAATTCACTCACTAAAAATTTCTATATTAACAATCTCTTCACTAATCATTTTTTAACTAACAATTTAATTCAATCTAATTCGTCATATAAACATGACCCTTGTTCTATGTGTTGGTTCCAAAAAAAAAAAAAAACGTTGTTCTACGTGAAAATCTTAAACATAGACCATCCATAAGGGTGTAATAATGGTCTGGGCTGGCTCATTCGGGCTTTGTGGGCTCGCAATTTTTTAGCGGGCCGGCCCAACCCATGGGCTAAAATGTGGGGCCCAAGCCTACTCATAATAGGGCCTAGGGCCTAGGCTCGGGCCGCGAGTTGGGCTTAGTCGGGTCTTTTTTTTTAAAAAAAAATTAAACGATAAATACATTATCTATGTAGAATATTTATTAGAAATAAAAAATAAAAGAAAAATTATACTAGAGTATTTTAGTTAAGATTAATGAGATGTTTTGTTTAGTTATGTCTTATGGTGGCATTTAAATTTAATTATGTATAACTTTTTTTTTTAATTATGAATTTAAAACTAAAAAAGAATGTAATTATATAATTTTTTTTTTCTTTCGAAATGAATAATGTTATAAAATGAATAATTTTATATATATGAAATTGAAACTTTCAATATTACAATATTAAATTATTTATATAACATTTATTGAATGAATAATTTTTATTTCAAAATGATACAAAATATTACAAAAATTGATATTATTAAATAAATTAGGTGTAGATTACTGATGATGGTATAATA